CCCTAGTACCACCAACTTTGGCTTTTTCCGACTTGCCCCGACACCATTCGAAGACCCTTTTGCAAACATCACACGTTTTCTAGATACTTCATCTTGCTCCACAATCTTAACGGGTTTCTCAATTTCAATGGGAGGCCCGAAATGAGGAGTGCACCAGTATGGATCCGAGGTCTTGAATGTTGGTTTTGTACTATAGTATTGGGCATCAGGAACTTTGAACAAGGTTTCACTAGAAGATAGAAGGATGTTGGCATGGGGAGGAGCTGCAAAAACGGGAGTAGTTAATGAGACACTTGTATTGGCGGGTGGAGCATGAAAAAGCTGGGGCAAGGTGTCAGGGTAGTTGTGGCAAGGGGTAAAGCCTGGGGCATGTTGGGAGGAGAGTCCAACGGCATTGGGAATCTGGGATTGTGATGGTAGTGGGACGGAAGCAAGACTTTCGATGTAGTTGGTGGGGAATGAGGTAGAGGGTGCCCACTAATCCAAGCCTGGTACATCTCCATTATCTGGCGTTTCAACCTTTGGGCCTCTTCTTTCAACTTAAATTGCGATTCGACAACACCTATGTCCGGTCCCTCACTAGTCATGGCTGTCTTGCTGTTNTGTTCCTGAACCTCCTCCAATTGATTTTCCTGCTTGCAATTCCATAGAACTCAAAGTACAGTCAACCCTAGTTTTTAGACTGCAAGGGTTTACTGTAGTTCCTCCAGTAGTTCCAGTTTTTTTCATCTGATTGTTGATCCCCTCCTCTTTGTCTACCATTACTTTTTTAAATCCCTGCTATTCTTCCATGACTTCAACTTCCTCAATCCATAAGACCTTCCTTGAACTCACCTCATTAGCATCTTCCTGTTGCTCAACATCCTCATAAGTTTGAGAAGGAATGTCTTGACAAGAGTGATTGGTAGTCACATTACAATGCCTGAGCTCTTCTTTACTTGTACCAAACCTCCTGTGCACCCAGTCTATAGTAGACTCTTTCCTAGCCTCTTCATTACTCCCAGCATCAACAGGAGTAGCAACAGTCGATTGATGATCAACTAGGGCTCCCTTTGTAGTAGACAACTGATTTCCTAATGATGTAGGAGTCAACTTTTCCTTACATAAAGCTGCCTCCCTTTCCTTGTTTGCATTGTCCACAGCTTCTTTCTTTACCCTTCTCGCATCAAATTCTTCCTTATTTAAGGAAGTGTTATCACCTACCTTGTCCATTACCTTCTTTAAATCACTTCCCTTACTCCTTTTTGAATTAGGATTAGGAGAATGATCCCCACCATTATCCTTCTTCTCCTGTTGCTGCGCCTTGCTTGTCCCTTTACTTTCTTGATCCTTCCCTTTTTTCTTGCCATTGTTCTCCACCTTGCCCTCTGCAATAGTTAAAATTGGTTGAGCAGCTTCATCAACTTCCAAAGCTTCAAATTTGTTTCTTGACACCACTGCCTCCTCCTTGGTCTTTCCTTTCCCCCTGTTGTCTTCTTTCATCTTTGACTCATCAATAATATAGCCCCTCTTGTCTCTTTTGTATTTATTCTTTCGAGCTTGCATCCACTCCTGCCTAGCTGGATTAGGAATAGGTTTCCCTAACACTGTACAACTTGTTAACGCCTTTGTAGTATTAGCAGTTGTACCAACTATATTTTGATCATTCTGCACATCATTAGTTGGTTCTTCAAACTTCCTCAACTCCGGATTAATTACCCATCATTCCTCTTCTTTATGACCTCGTTTTTACAAGTTTTACAATACTTAGGCATATAATCATACCTAATTTTGATCCACTTGAAATCTTCTGGCCCAGATTCATCTTCCTCCTCAACTATCTTGATCCTTTGAGGTAAATTAGCTAACAAATTCACCTCCACCTTCACCTTTGCACAGCTTGGCCTTGTACCATTTTGAGTAGCCAAATCAATATGTAATGGCCTCCCTACTGCCCTAGCTAAAGAAAATACAAACTCCCTCCCAAAGAAGTTAGGAGGCAAGTCTTGAAACGATATCCAAGCTATAGCAATTGGTGTTTCTTCATCAACTTTCCACCATGGATTCCACTTAGTGCACCTCATCTGCCACATCTCATTCTGGATTTTCAAGTAATAAGCAGGCTTGGATAATAGATGAATGTAGTCCTCCATTAACGTCAGCTTGATCAACACATGACTGTCCTCAATCAATCCAACTGAACATGGACCTTTTAAGTCACACTGAATGGGCAGTATTTTACGTAAATCATGAATCTCAGGCTTCCCATATGAAAACTTACCTAGAACTGTCAGATTTAATCCTTGTTGAGGAATGGATTGCCTTACTTCTTGCTTCTTCCAACGTACGATTGGTTCTCCATGAAGATATTCGATTGGTTTTAGGGCTACATTGGACGTAGACTGCATGGGGGCATTTAATGCATTAGGTTTGAGCAGATTTGCGTAGTTTTGAGTTGTGTTTGGGATTGTAGATGGTTGGGGGACTGTTATAGGTGAAGGAGACGACTACCCAACCTCCATTGAAGGCTGGGCAGTGGCCGGCGTGGCCATGGCTGAGCTTTCTCTCTATAATCGCCTCAAAATCGCCCAGAATTGCCAGAGCTTCTCTCTCTAGGCGCGCGCGGTTGGTTGGTTTTGGGTTTTTTTGGGTTTAGGGTTTTTTTTTTTTGCAAATATACCACTAGGCATGGAGCCTAGTGGCTAATATATAAAGATAACATCCCAAGAGGGTCCAAAATATACAATTTGTCCAGCAAAAACCTAATAAAAGTCTTAAAATATGTAAAGCTAGAAAGTCTAACTAACAAGCTAATATTATCTATTACATGATAACCAAATGCATGCTCCCATATTCTGTGGCGGTGTATGACTTCTAATGCCCATTTCAAGTACCATGTAGCACCAACCAAGCTCTCACCAAGTGCCAAGGTATGGATGGTATAGGCAATGAAAAAGTCCAAACAATATAGCCACAATACTGAAGCAAGCAATGACTTCCAAGGATACAAAGTGATGCCATCTACTAGCCTTGCCATTGTCACCTGCAAATTACATAGCACATTGGCTACTGTAGTGTCATCTCCAGAATGAGTGTGTGAGCACACTGATACCACTGAATAATGACACAACAGTATCCAACAAATCCTATACCAATATAGATGACATAAACTAATAAGAATAGTTGAAGATGTGTTCCATATAACAGCTGCTGCTTCCAGATTATGTAAGCAGACATACTGTGTCAATGAAGCTAAGATCAAACACCTGCATTGTGTCAGTATGAAGATGCTATCAAGACCATTATGAACCTGCACTCTTTTGGACATAATCAGAGCCCATGGGATGAATGCAACTACAACCAAAGTAAGCAGATATGAGATGTTCCTATTGATGTTCCAGAAGAGGTTTCTAATGATGATCCTTAGAGCTTGAGATGCTGAAGGTGATCCTGCCTTATCTGTGTAATATGTCCTACTACAAATTATCAAATCACCCTCAGATTGAGCATGTAAACGTGCTAATACCACTGAGTAGTCATTTAATAATCTCCAGTATAGTGAGGTACACAGACTTAGCATTGCATTTTGTAGCCTATCCATTAATCTGGTGCTTTCCTCTTAGCAATCCTAACTCTTAAGTTAGGAATTTGTGATTTATCCATATTGAGCAATGTTCTTCCTTCTGATGGTAACTCTTGAAACGATTGAAAGTTGACTGTACCTGCAAAAGAGAAAACAAGGTTAGCTAAAAAATCTGCCACTTTGTTGCCCTCCCTTAACACATGTTGGAATATCACATTGTAGGAATTTTTGATCTCCTTGATCCTTCGCACTTCTGCCCCTATACTCCATGGTGTCTCCCATTCATCTTCAATAATCTTCCTCATTACCAAAGAGTCAGTTTCCATGATCAAAGGATGCAATTGCCTCTCCACACAATATGACAGTCCATGAAGAATTGCCTTTGCTTCAGCTACTATATTTGTTGTATCACCTATCTCCCTTGCCCTAGCAACTATCAAATCCCCTCTGTGATCCCTCACACAAAAGCCATACGAACTAGGACCTGGATTCCCCTTTGATGCACCATCTGTGTTGCATTTGAACCAACCATCATATGGAAGCTGCCATGTAACCCTTCTAGTCACTATAACAGGCTTATATTGCTCAAAGAATCTGATCATCTCAGGCCACAACAACGGAATCCCAGGAAGCCAAGGATACCTCACCTTTGCCAAATAATATAATGTCTTGTTTACCTCATGAATAACCCTGCTGCAAGACACTGATCCTCCATGCTTCATAGTGTTCCTTCTCTTCCATATTTCCCAAAGAATTACTGCAGGAGCAGCCTGAAATAAAGGCTTTAGCTTGGGGCAACATTTTGCATTCCACCATTCCTTTATAACTTGATGGACCTGCACTATATTGATCACCAAACCTGCAGCCTGACTAAATGTACTCCACACCTATTTTGTAGTATCACTGGTTAGAAACAAATGCCGAAATGAATCCTCCTTAGGTGGCAAGCAACACCAGCATTTAGACACCACCATGTATCCCCCATCTCTCCATATATCATCTGTAGGGACCTTTCCCTTCCAAACTCTCCAAAAGAAGAATGAAATTTCGAAAGGAAGTCCTTTTGTCCATAGCTTTGCATAATCTGGATTAACTGGCTCTCTATGCCTCAATATCTTCCATGCACTACTCACAGTAAACTTGCCTGAAGGTGTAGGCATCCACCTTGGAGTATCCCAATAATCATCAGTAACTGCATAATGCACTTCTTCCCTAATATGATCTGCAATCTCCAATGGGAAGGTTTTGTCTAGAAGTGCATCATTCCATTGCTCTTCCTCTCTCAATTCTGATACCTCCTGTAGCTCCTCATTGATGTGAAAATCTGGAGGAACTACGTGATATAAAGCTCCCAATCCAGTCCAATTTTCGTGCCAAATATTAGTAGATCCCCTATTCATCTCCCATAGTATTTCATGTTCTACTTCATCTCTAGCCTCTAGCATTTTTCTCCACACATGTGATCCCTCCCTAAACTGTACCACAGTTGGTAATTCCTTCTTGCAATACTTATTCCACATGAAATTGGACCATAGCGATTTGAGGTCCTGAACCTCCACCACAGTTTTGCAAATAAAGCTTTAGAGACATCAAATAAAGATCTAAAACCTATTCCCCCTTCCTCCTTAGGGAGACATAGATTCTGCCACTTTGTCCAATGTCTACTTCTCCCTTCTTCCTTATTACTCAAGAAAAATCTTGCAAATGTTTTATGGAGATGCTCAATCACATTATCTGGTGGATCAAGTACTGATAATATGTGAGTTGGTATGCTTTGCAGTACACTTGAGATCAATGTAGCCTTGCCTCCATATGATAGAAGCTTCCCTTTCCATGAGTGCAGCTTTGCTTTCACCTTCTGAATCAAGTCATTATAGTAGTTCTTCCTTCTCCTTGTGTAGAATATTGGACATCCAAAGTATGTAAATGGGAAGGTCCCTTTAGAAAATCCAGTTATTGTGGCTACTGCATTCTTCAAATCTGCAGCAATCTTTGAATGCACATAATAGGAACTTTTTGCCTTATTGATCAGCTGGCCAGAGGTTCTCTCATACAATGCCAAGACATCAACTATCTTCTGAAGAGAGTAAGCATCAGCTGAGGCAAAGATAATAGTATCATCTGCATAAGCAAGGTGATTCAATGGATCAGACCACTTTGGCATCCCAAATCCTCTAAACTGCCTATCTTCAAACAATTTGTTCAAGGATCTTGATAACACTTCTGCAGACAATATGAACAAAGCTGGGGAGATAGGATCTCCCTGCTTCACACCCCTCATAGAGTGAAAGAATCCTGAAGCCTAACCATTCACAATCACTGAATACCAATTGTTAGAGTTCAAATTCCACACCATGTTTATGAAACATTCTGCAAACCCCATTTTCCTCAGTACATGCATCAAATATTTCCAAGACACCCTATCATATGCCTTGGCCATATCTAGCTTGATCACAACATTTGCTAGCTTTCCTCTCAATCTTCAGTAACAATCTCCTGTGTCAACAAAATATTCTCAAAGATGCTCCTTCCCTTAACAAAACCAGATTGGTTCAATGAGATCAATGAGGGCAAGATCTTTTCAATTCTATCATGAACTACTCTTGAGAAGATTTTGTTGACAAAATTATTTAGACTAATAGGTCTAAGATCAGAGAATGTTTGAACTTGAGGTTTCTTAGGCAGTAATACTAGATTTGTATGTGTTATTGATTTGGGCAATGGACTACCCTCAAAAAACAACACTAACAATGAATGAATATCCTGCCCCACAATATCCCAGCAAACTTGAAAGAACAAACCTGAAAAACCATCTGGTCCACTTGCACTTTCACTACTCAATGCAAACACAGCATCCTTAACCTCCTTCACAGTTGGCAATCTACATAGTTCCATATTCTGTTCCCTTGACACCATTGTAGGAACATTGTTCAGCAACTCAAAACTTGTGGAATCCCCTTCATTAGTGAGTTGTTTCCGGAAAAACTCTACAGCAGCCTCTGATAGCTTGTCTTGATCCTCTATCCATGCACCATCACTGTTCATGATCCTTTTCAGCTTCAATTTTTGTCTCTTTCCATTTACACAATTGTGAAAGAACCTTGTGTTTCTATCTCCTTCTTCAAACCAAGTCATACCTGCCTTTTGTTTCCAATATTGTTCTTCAATGTTCAAATATTTGTTCAATTCTGCCTGTGCTTGTTGAAGTACTACTCTATTTTCAGAAGATGGATCCTCCTCAAATAGCATCTCCTTAATTCTCACCACATCTTCTCTAATGGCCAGCTGCTTAAAAATATCCCCATAGGTTAATTTGCTCCATTTTGATAAAGCAATCTTAACCCTCTTCAATTTCTGCTTAAACATCAAAAAAGGATCTCCAATAAAATCAGCTCTCCAGTTCTGCTTTACCACCTCTATGAAGGCTTCATGGTTTGTCCAAAAGTTCAGGAATTTGAATGGCTTCACAAACTTCATTGCTTCTTCTCCACAGCTCATCAACAAGGGAGCATGATCTGATCCTGTCCTAATAAGATGTTCTACCTCAATAGTAGGGAATAAGTTCTGAAATGGCATGTTCACAAGGATTCTATCCAGTCTTTTAAATATACACTCTTCATTTGGCCTACCATTCCACCATGTGAAAGGACTCCCTTTGTATCCAAGATCAAACAATCCACATGAGTTTACACAGAAAGCAAAATCTTTATATTCAGGAGGATACACTGGCAGTCCTCCTATTTTCTCTTCCTCTCCCATCACAACATTGAAATCACCCCTACTAGACAAGGTAATTCCATATCACTAGCCAAATAATACAGATTGTCCCATAATTCTAACCTCTCCAGTGCACAACACTTAGCATAGACAAAAGTCATCATAATATGCTTACCAAGTTCTTGATGGTACACTCTGATTGTCAGTTGTTGTTCAGTGTCTATGAATAGATCCCATTCTACCACAGCATCAAGGAACAACCAAATCTTTCCATTCACATTTGAAATTGCAACTTCCATACCTAGCCTTCTTCTATACTTCTAAAGAAACTTCAACTTTTGCATTGGTTCCATAAGTGCAACAATAAAAAATCCATGCTCCTTCTGCATATTAATAACCCTTTGAAAGGCCTGCAGAGTTTTGACAGACCTTATATTCCATATGAGGGTTTATATCATCATCTTGATACATTAGAGGCTGCCCTCCTGGGCAAAATTCTAGTAGGTGCTTGCAGCTCTTTAGGTTGATTTTTCTTCCCTTTCTTCCCACTTCTAGCTGCTGATTTAGGAGACAAATCCCCTTCCTTTGCAATAGCTTTAAAATTTTCAGCTGTGGATTCATCATCTTCCTCACCTTCAAATTGTAGCTGCTGCTCAAGCAAAGTCTGCTGAATATCATCTGGCAACTCCTTACGAGTAATTATATCATGAAGCACCTGATTTGGACTCCTTAATGGCATATTTAGTTGGATCTGCATTGGTGATCCTGTACCTGATGCACATGCCACAGCTAGAGACTCCAGTTCTCCAGAATCTCTTGCAACAATTGCTTGCTCTGTTGGTTCATAAGGTGTCAAAGCTACATGTTGTGCCTTTAATGTCTTCTCCATATCCCCTAAATTCTCCTGCATCATCTTGAATTGAAGCTCATACACAGATCCTAGGTTAGGGTTTACTGTAGCAACATAATCAGAAATTATTGTTCCATTATGATCAGCCCCCTTCCCTTGCACTAATTCTTTATCTAGGCACATTGTATCTTTTCTAACCTCTGTAGGAACATCTCCATCAAGATCCTTCTCCAAAGAATAAACAGGAAGCCCATCAACAAAGGCCAAAATCTCCCCAGATTGGCTAGGGTTTACTGTTCCATTGCCTTTCTCTTTGTTCATCAATTGTTGAGCTGATCCCTCTTGCTTTCTAGCTTCCTCACTTACTCCTTGATCTTTTCCAGTTTGCACTTCAGCTTGATTCACCATATAGCTTGAATTATCTTCAACCCTAGCTTGACAATTGCTAAGGTTTACTGTAGCAGCTCCCATAATTTCAGTAGCTTGTCCAGGATTGTTACCCTTTCGATTGCCTCATATCACCTCTTCTCCTACCCTATGACTCTCCATAACCTCGACCTCCTCACTCCATAAGGTCTTAGCAGAGTTGACCTCATTGATATCCTCTTTTTGCCCAGAATCCTGATAAGTTTGAGAGGGAATTTCTTGGTAAGAATGGTTTGTAGCCACATTGCATAATCTTAGTTCATTCTTACTTGTCCTAAATCTCCTATGCACCCACTCAATCGTTTGTTCCTTTCGAGCTGCATCATCGTTGCTTGTATCACTCCAAAAATATTGCCTGACTCCCTTACCATATTTACCTTCTCCACAGCATCCTTTTTTATTTTCCTAGCTTCCACTTCTACCTTGTTTATTGACATTTTTCCACCTTCCTTATAAACAGATTTTCCCGAGATACCTTCTCCAATCCCATTAGCAGTAGGATTAGGAGAAGTCCCCTTTTTATTCCCATTATTTTCCAGCTGCTTCTCTTTGATATTCTCCTTACAAATTTGATCTTGCCCTAGTGCCTTGTCTCTTTCTTCGCCTTTACCATCTGTAATTTGCATAATTGGCTGAGCTTCTTCTTCCACCTCTAAAGCTCCAAATTTATTTTTTGAAATCACAGTACCTTCATTAAGCTTCCCTTTTCCCTTGTTGTCTTCCTTCTCCTTGATCTCCACAATTATGTAACCTCTTTTATCTCTTTGATACTTGTTCTTCCTAGCTTGCATCCACTCCTGTTTAGCATTATTAGTGACAGGTTTCCCAAGTACTTTTCCACTTGATAGAACCTTCGTAGAATTTGCAGCAGTGCCAACAACATCACTACTCACTACTACTGCTTGCTCCTTCACTTGATCCTTGCCTTCTCCACTAAAATTCTTATGTAATTCTGGGTGAATTACCCAGCATTCTTGTTCATTATGACCTTGCTTCTTACAAGTCTTGCAGTATTTAGGCATATAGTCATACCTAATTTTAATCCACTTCGATTCCTCAGGACCTGTATCATCAGCTTCTTCAATAATTTTAATTCTTTGTGGCAGTGTTGCAAGCAAGTTCACCTCCACCTTCACTTTAGCACAACTAGGTCGTGTACCATTTTGAGTAGCAAGATCAACATGTAAAGGCCTACCTACTGCACTTGCCAATGAAAATACAAACTCCTTACCAAAGAAATTAGGAGGAAGATCTTGGAAAGAGATCCAAGCAATTGCAATTGGTGTCTCAACCTCCGGAGACCACCATGGACTCCACTTCGTACATCTCATCTGCCACTAATCACCTTGCGCTTTCAAATAAAAAGCAGGCTTCAACAATAAGTGTATATAATCTTCCATTAACGATAACTTGATCAAGACATGAGAATCTTCAATCAAACCAACTAAACAAGCACCCTTAAGCTCACATTGGATTGGAATTGCCTTCCTCAATTCTTGGATCATAGGCTTTCCATACGAAATTTGCCCAGAACTGCTAGATGCAATCCTTGTTGTATTATAGATTGTTTAACTTCAGATTTCTTCCATCGAACCATTGGTTCTCCATGTAAAATCTCGACAGGCTTCAAGTTTACACTTTGTACGTGCATGGGAGTATTTAATGCTTGTGGTTGTAGCAGATTCGTGTAGGTTTGGATTGTTTTTGGATTAGTAGATGGTTGTAGGGTTGTAGTAGGGATTGTAGACGACTGCCCAACCTCCGGCGAAGGCTGGGCAGTGGCCGGCGTGGCCATGGAAGCGAGGCGCGAGCTTTCTCTCTCTAATCGCCCTAGATTTCGCCAAAGCTTCTCTCTCTAGGCGCGCACTTTGTTACAATTTCTCATTGGCCTTGGTTTAGGTTTTTTTTTAGCAATCCACTAGGCAAAGCCTAGAGCTAGTTTTTTATAAATCAAAATAATAAAAACATATCATGTCTGAGTATCCTACAAAATGAAGGTGATAGACTTTGAAAATTACATTAGCCCTATTACCAAAATTGAATAATGAACTCAATATTGGTATGACATTAGATCTATGAATCATTGTAAATAAGGAGACTAGCCCAATGTGGCCCAGTTCCGCCATGTATCTGCATTTCATATCCGCCCAAGTCCAGTTTGAATTATTCAAATTCCAATAATAGCCGCTTCCTGCTCCAGTTAACGTCCGTTTACAATAGTAGCCACTTTCGTCGTTTATCCTTGGTCTTGCCCACTTACTGCTGTAGCTGATGATTATTCCATGCTTATTTACAGCATATTTTCCTCTCATTTTAGTGATATAATCCATATGTTCATTCCTGCAACTCTTACGATCTAAATCCATTTCCCAACATTTGTAATTGTAGCCCATTTTCGTGTCAATTCTGCCTTGATTGCTGCATTGATCCTGCTGCTTTGTACACGTGAAACTGGGTAGTATTAGGTTGATACTACTCTTGTTCTTTCGTTGTGATTGCATTGCAGCTGATTTGATTATGCGTCCTATGAATTTGAGACATGGAAACTGCAATGAAGTATCACAGTTCCTCGATATTTTTGAATCACTCAGCTGCCTTCCTTTAGCTTGCCTTGTCATGCTTGTGCCTTTCCTTGTTTCCCTCTTCTTGGATTGAGTACATGGTACTAATACCACCAAGTAAGAGTTATTCAAAGGATAGGGCATGACCACAGTAAGTTTTTCTGCAAAAAAGAAAACTATGTTAGCATCAAAAAGGATCACCACACTCATTTCCAATAGGATTTGACTGTGATGATCACAAATGGTTCCAGGTTTCCTTTTGCTCCTACTACACCTTTTATCACCCACTTTTAGCACCTTCTTTCCCACAAGATTAAGGATCAGAAGTTCCTTGTGACTCCTTCTTACTAACTCCACTACTCTTTCCAGTATACTCTTCCCTTCTATGCTGCTACTGCTACTGAGAGCCCCTCCTTCATACCATCTGCACCTTGACACCTCTATCTCCTTTCTATGGTTCGTGTGAGTTGTTACTTCTAATGCTGCCTGACTCCCTGTATCCCTTGATCTTACTCTATCCATTCCTGAGACCCCCATACACATTCCTTCTATTTTGTCCTTATGTTTTGCAGCTGCTAACTCCTGCTGTCCATTTCGATTAAATCTTCTGGACAGCCTTACTTTTTTTTCTTTGTTCATACTCTGTCCCTCTTGAGTCTCCCTTATGTTGCTAATATCAGATGTCCCTATATGATTTTTAATAACCAGGAATTCCATGAACCTACTTTTCCTAATCTTCATCACCTTGCTTCTGAACTTTATCTCATGATCCTCCTCATTTAGTTGCCTTCCAGTTATTGCCTCTTTATTTTTATTATCCTCCTGTTCTAACCCCTGCAAGGTCTGACTCCTTATATCCTTAACTAAGCCCCCTCTTCCTCCTATATCCATTAGAATTCTGCAGTACCTTAACAGCCTTTTAGATAAATGCCCATTTCTCTTAGACATTCTGGGCAGATTCCTGCATCTTTGGGATCCTACATTGTTATCTCTATCATCTGTTCTTTGACATTGATATTGCCCACTTCTTTTAGACATTCTGGGCAATCTTTTCCTGCTTTCCTCTTGTTTTTTAACTCCACCTGTTGGTGGATCCATTTTTCTTTTCTTGTTGCTCCTCCCATCAATTGTACTATTGCCTAGTTGCAGGTTCCTTTCATTGGATTGAATGCAGAAAAGCATTAATACCACCAATTGAAATTCCCTTACCACATAGGCAAATAGTACATCAGCTGTACCTGCAAAACAAAAAACTATGTTAGTGAAAACATTGATCACCGTGTTCTCCTCTTTACAGATTTGAACATGATGACTACAAGTGATGAATCCATTCTCCTTCTCCTGTATTAACTCCCCTTCTCCTTCTAGTTTTTTGCAGGTTTTACTCTTATATGTGGACATTGAAGCTTATCCTCGTTAACAATCCTCCTACTATGAACATCAAGATCCCAAAAATCATAGCTTTCAATGTTGCCATGGTCAAGTGCATAGTTTGCCAAATGGTCTGCAAGTTTATTTCCTTCTCTGAAAATATGAGAGATTCTGAAGCTACACCCTTCTACTAACCTCCTGATCTCTTCCACTTCCTCCACGATATTCCAAGGTGGCTTCCATAGTCCATCAATAATGTTCTTAAGCATCATTGAATCTGTTTGAAGCCAAATTTTACTGAAATTCATGGCTCTGCACCTTCTTAATGCCTCAACTGCTGCAATTGCCTCTGCTGCATTGTTTGATCCCTCCCTAATTTCTCTTCCTTCTGCATATTTTATGTTTCCCTCCTCATCTCTCAAACACACACCTATTGCACTTCTCCCAGGGTTCCCTCTAGATGCCCCATCTGAGTTTGCTTTAATCCAGCCCTCCATAGGCAATTCCCATAGGACCTTCTCATACTTCAACTTACGAAGGTAGTTCTCTAACATAGTTAAAAGATTCTGCCATCTGTGAGGTACCACAAGACCAGGCTTTCTAAGCTTAACCAAAGCTTGAAGGTTTGATGATACCTGGTATATGACCCTATTCACTGATACAACATTTCCATATTTTAAAGAGTTCCTCCTCTTCCAAAGTTCCCATACTATACACGCTGGTAAAGCTTGCATGATTGGTTTAATTCTTTGTAACACTGGTGCAGTCCAACATTTAGTGATAGCCTGGTGCAATGTCAAGGAATCAACTGCAATACCTGCCCTTCTTAGAAAGTAATTCCATACTGTTCTTGCTGCATTTGATGTGAAGAACAAATGTACCAAAGACTCCTCTTTCGATTCAGCACAACACCAACACATGGATGGCATAAAATATCCTATCCGACGCATGAAGTCATCTAGAGGCAATTTTGCTTTCCACACCTTCCACATAAAAAAGGAAATCTTAAATGGCAGTCCCTTCACCCACATCAACTTATATGCTACCTTTGGATTGTCCCTTCTTCTAAGGTACTCCCAAGCAGATTTTACTGAGAAATGACCCTTCGATTCAAGCATCCAATATGGAGAGTCTAAGACATTGTCCTCCTTTGGTGGTCTGATATTCTGCAATATGTGCTGAGCCAGATCTGCAGGTAGTAACTCCATAATCCTTTGCACATTCCACACTCCATTTTCTACAACTTCATACACATTGAAAATGTTTTCATCTACCCCAAAGTCTGGAGGAACTTGAAAGTGCAATGCTCCTAGCTCTGTCCAGTTATCAAACCAAAACATTGCTGATCCCATCTTAAGCTTCCAAACTATTTGATGTTCGATCAAATCTCTACATTCAAGCATTTTTCTCCAAATGTGAGACCCCTCCCTCCATGGCACTATTACTACATTTAGCTTTTTGCAGTATTTTTGACTCATAAAAGAGCTCCACAAACTTGGCTTTGTCCTAAAGTTCCACCACAGTTTGCAAAAAAGAGCCTTTGCAACATCATGAAGGGATCTAAATCCAACGCCTCCTTCCTCATATGGCATACAGAGATTAGTCCATGATGCCCATGTCTGGTATTTCCACTTACATTACTGCTCCAAAAAAATTTTGCAAAAATTTTATGCAATCTGTTGATCACATAGCCTGGTGGATTGACAGCTGATAATAAGTGTATGGGCATGCTTTGTAACACATTTGCAATCAGTACTGCCCTGCCTCCTATTGATAATAATTTGCCTTTCCAAGACTGTAACTTATCCATGATCTTTGTGATCAATACCTGATAGTAGTCCAATCTTCTTCTTGCATAAAAAATAGGGCAGCCTAAGTAAGTGAAAGGAAAATCTTGCCTCCCAATGCCTGTAATCCTTTCCACTTTATTAATCACCCCATTATCAGTTAAGTGGTGCAAGTAGATGGCTGATTTGTTTTTATTCACCAGCTGTCCAGATGCAAGTTCATAAGCATGTAAAACCTCCATCACTAATCTTAAGGAAGTATCATCCGATGAGCAAAAGATGATAGTATCATCAGCATATGAGAGGTGATTTATTTTTAGACTCCATTTTGGCAAACCAAAACCACAGAAATATAGGTTTGAGTGAAGAGAGTTCAAACCACGAGATAATGCCTCTGCAGCTAATATAAACAAGGTAGGCGATAAGGGATCACCTTGTTTCACTCCCCTTGATGATTTGAAAAATCCATGTTGCTGTCCATTAACTAGTATAGAATACCAATTGTTTCCGACCAAATCAAAGATCATTCCTATAAAACTTTCTGCAAATCCCATTCTTCTAAGCATTTTAGTCAGGAACAACCATGAGAGCCTATCATAGGCTTTGGCCATATCTAACTTAATCACCACATTTGGCCCTGCCTTTGTTCTGAGTCTAATATCTGTAATGATCTCCTGTGTTAATAGTACATTCTCCACTATACTTCTTCCCTTGACAAATCCTGCCTGCTCTTCTGAAATCAAGTTTGGAAGCATATCAACAAGTCTCTCATGAATGACCCTAGAAAAAATCTTGTTGACAAAGTTGCTAAGACTAATTGGCCTCATATCTGCAAAAGAGCTGACTTCTTTTTTCTTTGGCAATAGTACTAAGTTTGTGTGTGTAACACACTTAGGTAACTGCTGTCCACAGAAGAATGCTTTTACCATCTCAAATATATCATCTCCAATAATTTCCCAGCATGTGTGGTAGAATGCACCTGTGTACCCACCTGGACCACCTGCAGAATCTGGATTTAGCCCCATTACTGCTTGCTTCACTTCATTTTTTTGATGGCATTTCCATCAGCTTCTCATTCTGCTCACTATCAATCATTGTAGGAACATGATTTAGAATATCAAATGTAGTAGGAACTACACTCTCAGTAAACTGCTCCTTATAAAATTGTACAGCCTCCTCAGCTATCAAATGATCTTCTTCTAACCAATCACCTTGATTATTTTTGATTCTTGTTAACTTCAATCTCTTCCTCCTCCCATTCACTTGTGCATGGAAAAACTTTGTATTTCTATCTCCATCCTTAAACCACATCATGCCAGCTTTTTGTCTCCAGAACTCTTCTTCTAATGCCAGGTATTTTATCATCTCTGCCTGCACTTTTTGTAACCTTAACTTGTTCATCTGAGTAGGAGACACTTCAAACTGCCTTTCATGTACTAGCACTACTTCTTCCAAACTTGCTATCTTCTGAAAAATGTCCCCAAAAGTAGCTCTACTCCAGGTAGTTAATGCTTTCTTCAACTTTTTAACTTGTAATTGAAGATCACAAAAGGATTAGCACAGAAATCTGCTTCCAATTTTCCTTTACTACATCCTTAAATGATGCATGTTTCACCCAGAAATTAAGAAATCTGAAGGGCTTCTTGATAGGAGGGGTTTCAATATCACATTTGAGCAGCATTGGACAATGATCCGAACCAGTTTTAGACAAATGAGTAATCTCCAGCCCAGGAAAGGTCTGCTGCAGTTCAATATTGCCAAAACATCTATCCAGTCTTTTAAAAATACAGTCCTCCTCTGATCTTCCATTCCACCATGTATATATGCTTCCTTTGAATCCTAAATCAGTCAAATTACAAGTATTGATGCAATGCCTAAAATCATCAACCTCATTGATAGATACTGGCAATCCTCCAAACTTCTTTTCTTCATCCCAAATTACATTAAAATCACCTCCCACTAGCCAAGGCACTGCCATATCTGAGGCCATTGCAAACAATGTGTCCCACAACTCTATTCTTTCAATATGATCACATTTTGCATAAATAAGTGTAAGGATGAGCTCAACATATGTTTCAGTGTGAAACAATCTTAGAGTCAACTGTTGAGTCATATTATATAAGATAGTAACCTCAAAGATTTCATCTATAAAAGCCCAGATTTTGTTTGATATGTTCACCACTGCTTGTGCTAAACCTATTCTTGCTCTATATCTTTCCATCTTGTTTGATTGTTGCATAGGTTCAATAACTCCAATGAATTCAAAATGGTGTTGTCTGTGCATTGTAATTAGCCTTTCAAATGCCTGCATGGTATTCACTGATCTAACATTCCAAATGATAGCATCCATTACTGGTTTTGATTTTTAGACAGAGTCCTCCTAGTCTGCACACCTCCTGCTGGGGCTGTTGATGTCTCCTTTGCTTGCTTCCTTCTACCTTTGAGAGTAGATTTTGCTTGTTCCATATGTCTAGGTGAAAGATCACCTTGTTTGGCCACATTTATGAAGTTCTGAGCAGTCGACTCCTCATCCATATCCCTGCCAGTGTGTTCTGTACTTTCCCTTTGTTCCTCTATCTCCTTATTCCCTGAGAGGCCACCTCTCTTGAGCCTTGTGGAATAAGTGTAGTAGTATGATCTTCCTGCAGATTGTCACTCTGCACTTTTGCAGGAACTACTGGAGCATTGGTTCCTGTTAATTCCTGTAACTTATCTTTTTTATTCTCCTCTACTACATGTCTCTCTTTTGATTCAGCTACCTTGGAGCTTTGCATGTTAAGTTCTACTGTCTGTTCATTGTTGTTTTTAGCATCACATGAAGCTGCATTATCAATACCATCAGGATCACCAATTCTTTCTTGTACTGTTCCCCCTGGATCAATGATGTTGATATCCCCTCCTTTAGTTGCCTCACCATTGATAATACTCTTCTCATTGCTGCATCCTTTTTCCTTGATTTGCTGGAGAAGTTCATCATTTCCTGTAGTAATCAGTAAAGCTTGCCCTTCTGAATTCTTTGTATCTTTTGTCTTGTCATTCACACTTTGATCTTCCTCTTCCATTTTGTCTCCTCCAATTTCATCTTCACTTTGTATCATATCAGGAATTATTCCTTCTTCTGTGTCTTCTTCTGCTTGATCTGACCATAGTTTACCTCCCTTCCAATTTGCTTTCTCCTTGTTTTGAAAAATTTCAAACTCTGTATCTTCAATCTCATCATTGTCTTTGTCTCCTGCAATTGCCAAGTCCACTCTAGTATCCTGAGATGGTATTTCTTGAATTGATGTATTGGTAGCTACCTAATTTTCTTTAAATGCCCTTTGTACCCATGCAGCTGTAGACTCCTTAGCTTGTTGAACTGCATTCTTTTTTTCAATACTTCTTACTTCTTCTCTTTGTCTTTGTACATTAATTCCACCTGGAGCTGAGCTAGCAGCTAGGACTACTAACTTGTTCTTTTTTCCACTTTTCTTTCCCTTATCAGTTCCTGGAGATTTAGGCATGAATGCTGGTGCTGCTGGATTTAAACCAACTGGTTCCTGAGTATCATGCTTGTTACATTGCTGTACTTGTTCTTCCACTAAGGCTAATTGCTTATTAGCATTATCTTCACTATTAGCCATATCTAAAACTGCAAATTTATTATTTGTTTGCACCTGTTGAGACACAACTGCTGCATGCTTCTCCATAGGTACTAACTCTTTGCCAGATTTTATTAGTTCCTCATTCTGCTTTTCTTTGGCCTGACCTCTCTTATCCCTAACTTCTTTCCATTGTGCACCTACATTGCCAACCACCCTACCACTGGACAATATCATCAATGGGGCATTGTTTTTCTCCTGTTCTTGTACAACACTTGTTGCAACCTTCTATTTCTCTTCTTTATTTTGCATAAGCTCAGGATGCAATCTCCAACACTCAAACATATCATGTCCTTGAAGTTTGCATTCCTTGCAATATTTAGGAAGATAATCATACTTTATGTTTAACCATTCTGTTCTAATATCACCAGTATTTTCATTCACAATATCCATACGTACCTTCTTAGGAAGATCAGCCAATAAATCCACCAAAACTTTAACACGTGCACAGCTAGGCCTAGTTTTGTTCACAATAGCTTGATCAAGATGCAATGGCTTACCAACTGCTGAAGCTAGGGAGAACAAGCATTCCTTAACAAAATACGTTGGCAACAAATTAGGGAATGAAATCCATGCCATAACTTTTGGTGTCTCCTCCCCAACCTTAAACTTAGAATCATAAATCAGTGTTCTAAGTTGATACTCATCTCCAAACTTGTCTTTGACATAATGTACTCCCTTTGAAGAAAATTCAATAAAATCCTGCCATAGAGTCAATCTAACTAACACATGCCTATCACGTAAATAACCCATAGTGCATTCACCTTTAATCCCACATTGACTAGGCAGAATTCGACGTAGCTCATTAAGCTCAGGCCATCGGTATTAAAATTTGCATACCACTGCGTATTGTAAACCTTCGATCATGTTCATGCGCTCAACTTCTGCTTCAGTAAAACAAACAAAAGGTTGTCCTTGATGCAATGTAGCTCGCCTAAGGGCAATAGGCTCTATACTCGCTGCTCGATCAGTCATGGCCACATTGTTCGACGATGGTTTTACTGCGTTTGCATAATTCATGGGTTCTGTTGTGTTTTTTGTTATCGTGCATGGCTGGGTAGGGGTGGGGGAGGGTTGGGGAGGTGGCCCAGCTATTGTAGGTGGCTGGCCACCGGCCGGAGTGGCCATGGCAGAGCAAACAGAATGTTCGCGATTTTGTCTTCTCCTGATCGCCAATCGCCAGAGCTCTCAAGCTGGTTTAACAGCTTTTGGTTTAGGGTTTTTTTTTTTAGCAAATCCACTAGGCAGGTGCCTAGGGCTAGTTTTATTAATAATAAAAAGCAAAAAAGAACCACATAGGACGAGTACAAATAAGGGGGACAATAGCACCAGTAGTGTTGCCTCTATGCCTTGGCTATATAATCACTCATCTGCGCCTCACAATGCCCTTAAGGCAGCCTCATGTAGAGGAATCATGGTGTAGCTGCCGGCAAAGTCTCACGAGGGCATATAATCTCATAGCCATTTGGATATCTTTCCAAAGGCATAGGACTAGAGCAACATAAACTGGGCTAAACCTTACCTTACTAATCCTATTGAGGCAAATAAAAAGCCTCACCTACTAGCATGCATGTAAAAAGAAAGAACTAGAAAGCACTAAGTATTCTATGATCATCACAGAGTTTATAACATACTCTGAGTTTATAACATACTCTGTGATGATATTACATAGGATTATGCTAATGTGATGGAAAAATAAAAAAATGTAAAAGTAATTATGTTGTTCTTTCTTCTCTAGTCTTTTAAAATCTTGAACTTGTAGACTCTTGTCTTCATCATCAACCCTTTTCGAAATGTCTTCAAAATTCATGCTTTCTTTTTTGAACGATTGGACTTTGTAGATGTAGATGGGGCAGCCTGTTTTTGTTTGGCAACTCTCATTGGAAGTCGCCTAACAACTGCATCTTCATTCACTCTGCCGTCCCAACTTTTTTTCCTTGTATGAGACTTCTTGCTTTGTCCGCTATGCATTGGTGACAAATCACCTTTCCTTGCTGCCTCTGCCCGGCACTGTTGTAGAATTGCATCTTCCTCACCTTCTTCATAAACATCTTTCCCCAAATTTACAGGATTTGGCATGTCTTGACCAAGATCTTGAAACGCCAAAGCATTTCCATCTTCTTTATTTACCAAACCTGCCTTGTTTTGACTGTGTTGTGTGCCTTGCTGTTTGTTGTTGGTCTTGTTCAAGCGACCTGTACTAACCACTTGCTTTGTGTTAACAAAGTTTAGGGGCTTAGAACTTACCAAAGCATCAAGAAGATTTCTGTCCTCCAACGTGATACCAGGTGCTGTTATAGCCTGCAGCTGCTGTCCCACAGTTGTTGGCGTTACTGCAGCTACTGGAGTCTGCTGCTGCTGCCCAGCTTTGTTTATTGCAGCTGGAGAATTACTAGGGACAAAGGCAGGTGCATTGGTTGTTAAAATGTGTTGCTGCCCATTCGACATTGCTCCAGACAACTACTGCTGCCCAATCGAGTTTGCTCCAGGAGTGCTTGCATTCAACTGCTGCTCAGTTTTTGCATTCAATTGCTGCTGCTGTGCAGGCAGATTTATTACTGGAAGACTAGCAGTTGTACTGCTCGACAAGATCTGCTGCTGCCCAAATTGATTTGCTACTGAAAATTCTTGCAAAGTTGTTCCAGATGTCTTATGTTGCTGCCTTGTCTTAGGAATAAAATCAGGAGCTTTAGCATTAAGCTTGCTTCCTGATCCTAACTTAGAAGAACTTCCAATTTTTGGAAAGGATGGAGAAACTACTGATAACATCTCCTCATCACCACTACACCTATCACCTTTATCAGAAGAATCCTCCGCAAAATCAACACCCAAATCTTCTTCATCATCATACTCAGGTTGATCATCCCATAGCTTAGATTTAATTGTCATCGCCATCACATTTGCTTTAATAACCTCATTGTTGTTTCCTGTGGACAGCACCAACTGCCCAGTATCTCCTCCATGCTCCCCAAACGATTCCAACAATTGTGATGGTACTTCATAGACAGAAGTGTTCAAAGTTACCAAAGGTTGTTTAACCATATTAGTATGCAACATCATCGCGTTCTGGGCATCTTTGATAATTTTTTCCACCTGTGGACTGGAGAAATGCAAGGTCGGAGCATTGGAGCTATGTGCTTGATTACTCGTTAGCTCCTCCACCAAGTTCATCTTTGAGGCTGCATTAGATACTGCCCCAGTTATTTGCTCGTCAACAGGAACAAGAGCAAGATCTTTTAAGCTTTTTGATCGAGCATCTGCATTCTTCATGAACTGCTGTTGCTTTCCACTGTTTGGAGAGTTAGACAGCTTATTTTTTGAAGCTAAATCATGATCAACCTGCGGTACGTTCTTCTCACCATCCCTCTCCACAGATTCATTCATCAAAACATCAAAGGAGTTAGCACACCTGAGGTTATTCACGTCTATAACCTAATTTGTGGGACCTCGAGGGTTCTTTTTGTTAGGAGACAAGTTTGATCGATTTACTACTGTAAAGTCTCCTTCTTTATATTGTTGCACACCTTGAGAACCTGAATTTAATGCATCAGTTACTTGTTTATGAGCAGCAACAGATTGCCTAGTATTTGATGTAGCAACAGTGATGTTCTTTGAATCATTAACCTGACTTTTATGCACTGGAACCTTCTTTTCGCTAGGTGAAGATTGTGTATGATTCACCACTGACCAGCCCCTCATTTTTGATCGAGCTTGAGGATCAGATTTTAATAAGTCAGCTGCCTTTAAGTTAGATTTGTGAGTCTGCTCCTCAGCTTCACGTACTGCACCTACTCCAATTCCTTCCTCCGTATCAGCTGTTACATGTTGCTCTCCAGATTTCTTCAGTACTGCCCTAACACCTGAAGCATCTACACCTTGCCCCTCATCATGTACAACAGTAGCACCTGTTGGTTTTTCAACTGCAGCAATAGATTTAACAGTCTTTGCATCTAGAGACTTAGCAGGAGCTGCTTGTTGCACTATAGTCTGCCCTGATCCATCAAACACTGATGCAACTTGATCAAGCTCCTTAGCATCCTGCACAACAACAGTAGCAATTGGATCTACTGCTGCATTATTTTTGGCAAAAATAGCTCGAACACCTACAGCTAATGCACTATCCTCCCTCATCTGCTGAAGTTGCCCAGCTTCAATAGCTGAACCTTTTGAATCCCCAGCTAAACCTCGATCAACCATAGTATTTTTTTCAGCCATCAAGTCTTGAGCAACTCTAGCAAGGGCTTCAGCAACTGGAACAGTTGCACCAGAAACAAGATTTTGCCCTGCATCACCAGAACCAACCTTATCAGTTGCCTTAACAGCAGTTTATTGTGGACCATCAATTGATGCATTAGATTTTTGCTGCGCCTTAGCATTTAAATAATCCCTAGCATCCCCTTGTAATTTTTCCACCTTGCTCATCTCCTCAGCCAAAGCCAAAACTTCAGCATGTAGTACACGATCATTATCAACAGTGTTGTCGATCAAATTTTCCTCCTGTTGCATATCATCATTCGCCCTATTCCTTTTAATCAATGAACGACAATCTTCACCAGCATGTCCTTGTCTTTTGCACACATTACAATATGATGGAAGATTATCAAACAGAAAATCCTGTAGATGCTCAATAACCTTACCAGATTTCTCGTCGATAAATTGTAACTTTATATTCTTGGGATGCTTGTCAAGGAGATCAAGAATTACCTTTACCCTAGCTGTGCTAGGTCTTGTCCTAGTTTTTGTTGCTTTATCAATAGCAATAGGTTTTCCCACAACTGATGCAATTGATAATAAAGGCTTCTTCGCAAATAAGTTCGTCGGCAAATCAGGAAACGACACCCATGCCACTGCTTTTGACGTCTCCGCCTTAGGATTGTAATCTTAAGTCCATGGGAATGTACGATATTGATGTTGTTGTCCTTTGTACTGTAGATAACCAACCTACTTTGAGACAACTGCTACAAAATTCTCATGTGCATCACAACGAATCAACAACTGCCGAAACGCGAGCAAGCCTATCAAGCAGCGACCTTTAATCCCAACTTGTGCTGGAATCATATTTCGAAGTTCTAGCAGCTCTGGCGCACCATATGACAGCTTCATCACCACAGCTTGGTGAAGGCCTTCTTCAATTGCATATTCCTCCAATTCCTTAAACGAAAATTGCATCATTAGTTGTCCATGAACATGTTGGACAGGTCTAAGGATTGTTTTGGTTACTGGTTGTGATTTGGACGACAGTAATGAAGCATATGTATTTGTTTTAGGGCTGGAATCCATCTCTCCCACAGCTTGAAGCTAGGGAGAGGGCTGCACGTCCATGGCAGCCCTTAGTTCTGCATGTCGCCCAAGAGAGAGGGTTTAGGGTTTTTTTTTTTGGCAAAATCCACTAGGCAGTATGCCTAGGGCTATTTTATATATCTAAATCAACAAAAACAAAATCATGTCTGGAGGTCTTACAAAATGTAAAAATTCAACTTTGATACCTATATATATCCTATTATCAAAGAGGAGTGAGATATTCCACCTTGATATTACATAACCAAGTCTAAAAAATCTAAACAATTTAAAAACTAGCCATTGAAGCTCCATAACGTCAGCTGCCCGGTGTTTGCAAGAATAGCCTGATTTAACCTTGATAGCCACTTTTGTTACTGTATCCCCTTGCTGCACCAATTCCTGCACTTCACTTATCAGTGTCCTTGCCCTTTTGATCGCCATTTTCTCCTTATGAAATCTGGACATAAATGATACTTCTGCACTATACCAATCCTTACGCTGAAATGCTGTGAAATTTTCTGTGATCCTCGAACATCTGCTGCCATTTTCACCTTCTCCCACACCTGTTTCTTTTGTATTATTTGTATATTGTCCCTCTATATCTGTCAGTCTATCATATTGTAGTGGTATGACAGTCTTGAGTGTGACCATTGGTTCCAAATTTCCTCTCCAAAAGCTGCCTTTCGTCCAGATCTTTATCCACTTGCTGATATTTCCTTTTTCTTTCTGTGCTCTCTAGTTGTTCCTACTTGTGCCCATTGTATATTGTTGATCATGGATTGTTTGTATATTATACTTCATTTGAAAAATGATCCACAATCTCCTCTTCATTCCCATCTATAACCTCCAGATCAATGATATGAAACATGTAGCCTCGTATGAATTTTGCCATATATTGAGTCTGCTTCCCCTTGCATTCCTGCATTTTCTTGCATTTAATACTTCTCCAACGGAATGAGCACTAGGTGCTAATACCACCCTTTGGATTCGTACTAAAATACAATGCAGGATCACTATATTAGTTTCCATTTTTGATTTCCATCTCAAACAACTGCATGTTTTATGCTTCTGTGTACTTTGCCATCTGCTGTGCCTATTGTACCATGCATTATTATTTTTGCCTGCATTTAACACTCCTCCAAGGGAATGAGCACTAGGTGCTAATACCACCCTTTGGATTTGTATCAAAATGCAAAGCAAAATCATAGTGATGGTCCATGTAGGCAATGGTGTTTGCACTATATCCAAACTTGCCTGGTTCCCTGTATGATGTGAAGACTTAATGTACTGCATCAAACTTTGAAGTACCAATGTCTCTTTCGAATTATATCTGTTCAAGTCCTGCACTATGTTCTTTGTAGTTGATGTCCGGTTAAAATGTGTGTAAACATACATTTTTCCTGGCACTCTCATGTGACACTCTATATGATTGATTACCCTATATAACCTGTGTAACTTTGATAACAATCCACAATGACTTTGGAGCCAAGCTATATCATTTGCTGTTCTGAAAGCTCTCCCTAATTCCCTGATGTTCCTTAGTAATCTTCCTTCATGGGAATGAGCACATAGTACTAATACCACTCATGGAAGGTTGATTCCTAATTGCAGCAAGGAGCTACTGCCAGTACCTGCAAAAAAGAAAACATGGTTAGTGGAAAAATTATATGCTATGATCTCCTCCTCAAGGATTTGACCATAACATATCATGAGTCTCCTTGTTCTCATCTTAATTTTCTGCCTTAGATTGCCCAGGTCTGCCATTTCCAATCTATACCTCCACCTTGTTGCCACCTTACCCATTATCTTCTTGCTACTTTCACTCGTAAGTATGGACATTGAGATTTGTCATCATTCACAATCCTCCTCCCTTGGATATCCAGCTCCCAAAATTCCTGTGCCTCAATATCTCCAAAATCCAATGCATAATTGGCTAAGTGATCAGCCAATTTATTTCCTTCCCTGAGTGTATGAGCCACAGAAACATTTGCTTTAGTCAGTAGCTCCTTGATTTCTTCCACCTGTTGAACTATACCCCATGGTATCTTCCATTCCCCATTAAGTACATTCCTCAGCATCATGGAATCTGTGTGCAGTTCAATCAACACATAATCATGCAGTACACAGAATTTCAGTGCTTCCAAAATTGCTTTTGCTTCAGCTTCAGTATTTGTTCCTTCTTGTATTTCTTTTCCACATCCATAGATTAGATCTCCCTCCTCATTTCTCAACACAAAACCTATTGAACTTCTCCCAGGATTACCCCTAGAAGCCCCATCTGTATTAACCTTTATCCATCCTGCTTTTGGACACTCCCATAGGACCTTAGTGAAGCTCAACTTAGGCAGATATGATTCCAGCATATGCAACAGTTCTGGCCATCTATGTGGTACCTGTTGGAGAGAAGGTTTTCTGAGCTGAACAAGTGATTGCATAGTTGTGGATATCTGATAAATGACTCTATCTACAGTGACAGCCTCCCCATGCTTATAGCTATTTCTTCTTTTCCATAGCTCCCACACTATCACAGCTGGAAGAGCTTGAATAATAGGTTGCAATCTGGGCACTACCTCTGTTGTCCAGCACTTAGTTATTGCTTGATGAAATGATATCCCCTCCATATTAATTCCAGCATGCCCTAAGAAATATTTCCAAACTCTTACTGCTGCATATGAAGAGAAAAAGAGATGCTACATTGTCTCTTCTTTTGGCTCAGAACAACACCAACATTTTGAAGCCATAAGATATCCCAACCTTTTGAAGAAATCATCTAGTGGCAGTTTATTTCTCCAAACTTTTCACATAAAGAAAGAAATCTTAAAAGGCAGACCTTTTACCCAAATTTTCTTGTATGCATTGCATGGTTCATTTCTCCTTCTCAAGTACTCCCAAGCTGACTTCACACTGAACTCTCCTTTTGTTTCAAGCATCCAATGTGGCTTGTCAAGAACCTCATGAACAACTGGAGGTTTCAACTGCCATATAATATGATCCGCTAAATCTTCAGGTAATGCTTCTCTGATCTTTCCCTCATCCCATTGGCCATTGTCCACTACATCATAGATATTCTGGATGGATTCATCAACTACAAAATTAGGAGGGGTAACAAAGTACAGAGCTCCCAATCCAGTCCAATTTTCAAACCAAAATAGTGAAGATCCCATCTTAGGCTGCCACATTATTTGATGTTCTACTAATTCTCTACACTCCAACATTTTCCTCCACACATGAGATCCATCTCTCCAAGGTACAATTATGGGATTTAACTTCTGGCAATACTTCTGACTCATGAAGGAACTCCATAAGCTAGGTTTTGTTCTAAAATTCCACCAAAGCTTACAAAACAAAGCTGTGGAAACATCATGTAATGATCTAAATCCCACACCCCCTTCTTCACATGGTAGACACAGTGTACTCCATGAAGCCCAATGCCTGTTGGCCTCACCTACTGTATTTCCCCAGAAGAATTGAGCAAATATCTTATGGAGCTTATTTATTACATATGATGGAGGGTTCACAGATGACAACAAATGTATGGGCATACTCTGCAGCACATGTGAAATTAATACAGCTCTTCCTCATATAGACAGTAGTTTTCCTTTCCAATCTTGCAATTTATCCATAACCTTAGTCAGCAGCCCTTGGTAGTAATCCATTCTTCTTCTAGAATAAAAAATAGGACAACCAAGTTAAGTAAATGGAAACTCCTGTTTAGCAATACCTGTGACTGCTTGTACCTGATTGACCACCTCTTCACCTGCTGAGTGATGCATATAAATGGCAGATTTACTTTTGTTAATGAGCTGTCCAGATGCACTTTCATATGCTGTTAAAATCCTCATGATCAAACTCAGTGAAGTTGCATCAGAAGACGAAAAAATTATTGTATCATCTGCATATGCAAGATGATTATTTTTGGGACTCCACTTGGGCAGTCCAAAGCCACAACAGTGTAAATTTCTGTGCAGTGAATTTAATCCCCTCGATAGAGCTTCTGCAGCCAATATGAACAAGGTAGGTGATAATGGATCACCTTGCTTCACCCCTCTTGTTGACTTGAAAAAACCAAATGGCTGTCTATTCAACAAGACAGAATACCAGTTGTTTGCAACAATCCCATATATCACACCAATAAACCTCTCTCCAAAGCCCATCTTCCGCAGCACTTTAGTCAAGAAAAGCCATGACAGTCGATCATATGCCTTGGCCATGTCCAATTTGATCACTACATTTGGTCCAGCTTTGGTTCTAAGTCTTTTGTCAGTAATGATCTCTTGAGTTAGCAAAACATTCTCTACTATACTCCTGCCCTTTACAAATCCAGCCTGCTCTTCAGATATTAAATTTGGGAGCAGTCCTGCTATTCTCTCATGTACAACTCTAGAAAATATCTTGTTAACAAAGTTACTAAGACTAATAGGTCGCATGTCTGAGAAGGAAACAACTTCTTTCTTTTTTGGTAGTAGCACTAGATTAGTGTGAGTTATAAATCTTGGCAATTCATGACCACTGAAGAAAGCTTTAACCATCTCTACAATGTCATCTCCTATTATCTCCCAACAAGAATGGAAAAAACTTCCTATAAACCCATCAGGACCCCCTGCACTTTCTCCATTTAATCCCATCACTGCATTCTTTACTTCATCCTTAGAAGGTTGTTTGATCAGCTCCAGATTCTGTACTGAATCAATCAAATTTGGAATATGATCTATGATATCAAAAGATGATGGAACTGTCTCTTCATGGAATTGAGCTTTGAAAAACCTCACTGCTTCTTCTGCCATCTCATTGCTATCTTCTAGTCAGTTACCATTTTGATCCTGCACCCTTTTCAGCTGTAGTCTTCTTCTTCTTCCATTTACTTGGGCATGGAAAAACTTTGTATTTCTATCTCCATCCTGGAACCAAGACATCCCAAACTTTTATTTCCAAAATTCCTCCTCCAAAGCTAAATATCTGATTAGTTCTGCTTGAACCTTCTGTAGCCTCTCTCTATTTCGAAAAGTAGGAACCCTCTCAAATTGTGCTTCATGGACCAGTACTACTTCCTTAAGACTTGCAATCTTTTGGAAGATGTCACCATAAGTTGTTCTACTCCACACTGATAATGCTTTCTTTAATTTTTTCAGCTTTTGATTGAACAAAAAGAAAGGATCACCTGTGAAATCTACCTGCCAGTTCTGCCTTACTACTTGTTTGAAAAATGAGTGTTTACACCAGAAATTCAAAAACTTGAAAGCTTTCGTGATAGATGCAGCATTAGGATTAAAATTCAGTAGCATTGGACTGTGATCAGATCCTGTTTTGGCTAGATGAGTTACCTCTATGCTAGGCCATAGTTGCTGCAGCTCAAAATTACCCAAACATCTGTCCAGCCTTTTAAAAATGCAATCAGCTTCACCCCTCCCATTCCACCATGTATATATACTGCCTTTGAAGCCCAAGTCACTGAGATTACATGTGTTAATGCAGTGTCTAAAATCATTGATCTCATTTAGAGATACAGGTAATCCTCCAAATTTCTCCTCTTCATCCCATATAACATTAAAGTCCCCCCCTACAAGCCACGGTAAGGACATATCACTTGCTAAATTGTACAAACTATACCATAATTCTATACGCTCAATGGAATCACATTTTGCATATACAAAAGTGACCAAGAATGACAGTTGAGTGTCCAGGTTTGTAAGCTTTAATGTCAATTGCTGCTCCAGATCATACACAATTTCCACCCCATGATCATCATCCACAAACACCCATATTTTGTTAGATACATTTGAGAAAGCCTATAGCATACCAATTCTCCTCCTATATCTCTCCAATTTCTTCCTCTTCTGCTTTGGTTCCATAAGTCCTATGAATTTAAAGTGATGTTGTCTTTGCATGGTGATAAGTCTCTCAAAGGCCTGCATTGTTTTCACTGACCTCACATTCCAAATGATGGTATTCATTATTAATTGTGAGATTTAGAAAGGGTCCTTCTTGTTTGGACCCCAGGAACTAGACTTTGATTGTTATCTTTTTGTTGTTTCTTCTTTCCTCTTCCAGCTGATCTCCCTTTATCCATGTATCTAGGTGACATATCACCTTGCCTGGCAACCTGTTTAAAGTTCTGGCAGGTAGATTCTGCATCTAAATCTTTCCCTCTGCCCTCCATATCACCTGCTCCTCTATTTTCCAAAGGATCTGCAATCTGATTGTGAGTGGCCTCAGCAGTCACATTTTGTTGCAGCTCTTGTTTTTGTTGTGTTGCACCATTAACATCTACAGGAATCAGACTAGTTTCCCCATGAGTCTGTCTCTTCTTAACCACACCATCAGCATTTTCCATCAATATTCCTTCACTATTCTGCACCTCATTATTTTTCTCACCTGCTTCCTGAATTATAGCCCCATCAGTAGTCTCATGTGTTTGTCTGAGATTGCTCCCTTTATCTATATCAGGTTCAGCTGGAGGTAGCTCTCCATCTGGATTATTGATTGGAATGTTTTGAACACCTTCACCTTCAGATATATTAGCAGTTCTATCCTCTTGCACAGCTGTAGATTCATTAGCTTTGCCTGAGTTATCTCCTATATTCTCTTGTTCCTTGTTGTTCTTGCCATTTACACTTTGTTCTGCCTCATCCTTCTCCTCATTTGATGACTCTTCTTCCCCCATGGCACCTGTTGGTAATTCCCCTTCATCTGATGCTTCTTCTGTTTGGTAACTCCATATCTTTGCCCCATTCAACTGTAGTCTTGTATCCTCTTTTGTCACCCCATCTGCTGCATCAAATTCAACTGACTGTGAGGGTACCTCCTAACATGACTGATTTGTTGTAACCATATTTCCCACAAAAGCTCTATTCACCCATGCTGCTGTGGTTTCTTTTTGGACACCTTCAGTTCCTGCATTCATATTCCCAGTAGCATTAGCCTCCTTTCCTTTTTCAATGCATCTCTTCCAGTAGATAAAGGATTAAATCCTGCTGCTTTAGGATTCAATCTCCCCTTTGAAGTATGAGCTTTTCTAGGACTTCTTGATACATTGGTTTCTTCCACAATCACCATCTGATTATTTTCCTCAACATCATCATCTTGAATCTCTAGAGCTGCAAATTTATTAGTGGTCTGTATTTGCTGATTAGCACCTGCAGCATCTGGTAATATTTCTCTCCTTGAATTACCTATTTCTTGCTGAATATTAGTATCAACTGGAACAATTTCCTTCCCCATAGCATCATTAATTTGCTTTGTCCCATTAGAAACATTAACCTGCTGCACATTAGATTAATTTACTGGAACAATCTCATTGCCAATTGGACCTTGTGTTATGGCCTTTTTTGCTCCATTCTTCACTCTATTATCCCTTGCTTCCCTCCATTGTTCACCACCTTGATTCAAATTTCCAACCACTTTCCCACTTGTCAAGATCATCAAAGGTTGATTAGTTTGCTCATTATTCTGTTCCTTGCTATTATCTGCATTATTCTTGCCTTGATCATATGGTGATAACTCAGGATGAACTCTCCAGCATTCAAATAAATCATGACCTTGTAACTTACATTCCTTGCAATATTTTGGAAGCATGTCATACTTTATATTGACCCATTCAGTCCTTATTTCCCCAGATGTTTCACTAGCAATATCCATTCTAACCTTTTTAGGATGTTCAGCTAACAAATCAACAAGGACCTTGACCCTAGCACAACTAGGCCTAGTCTTATTAATTGTAGCCATATCCAAGTGTAATGGCTTCCCAACAGCTGAAGCAAGTGAAAATAGGCATTCCTTTACAAAATATGTAGGTAACAAACCTGGAAAGGATATCCATGCCATTGCCATTGGAGTCTCCTCCCCTGCCTTAAACTTCACATCATAAATAAGTGGTCGAATTTGATACTCCTGGCCATTCTTGTCCTTGACATATTGTGCTCCCTTCGAAGTAAAATCTACAAAGTCCTGCCACAATTTCATGCGTATAAGAACATGCCTATCTCTTAAGAATCCAATATTGTATTCCCCTTTTATTCCACATTGTGATGGAACAATGCGTCTAATCTCGTTCAAATCTGGCCACCCATACGCAAACTTTCCAACCACAGCATATTGAAGACCCTCGATTACATTCATTCTCTCCACTTCTGATTCAGTAAATTTCACCATTGGTTTCCCATTAACTACAGTTGCATGTCGAAGAGGAATTGGTTCCACAGCAGTCGCACGTTCATGCATGGCAGCATTTAATGTGCATGGCTTCAGCAATTTTGCATAATCCATTGGTTGGGGCGTGTTATTAGTTGTTGTCGAAGGTTGGTTTATGTTGGGGGTGGTTGGGGAGGCAGCCCAGCCACAGCTGCTGGCTGGCTGCCGGCCGGCGAGGCCATGAGAGCTGGCAGCGCACTTTCTCTCTCTAGTCGCCCAATATTTCGCCAGAGCTTCTCTCTCTAGGCTTGGACGCGTCAATTTAGGGGTTTAGAGTTTTTTTTTTTGCAAAATCCACTAGGCCGATGGCCTAGGGCTAGTTTTTATATACATTAATAATAATCAAAAACAATTTGTTCAATGGTCTAGCATAAAGGAAGAAATAAAAATTGACAAAAATATAGAACCTATTATCAAAATTGAGTAGTGTACTCAAAATTGATATTACAAAATTACTACTAATATTTGTACAATAAAAACTAGCCCATGCAATGTATTTCCACTTGCTAACCAGATCCAGTAGCCCAAAGAATATACCCAATTTGCATTTTGTTCCAGCCCATCTCAGCGTTCCAATCTGTTTACAAATATAGCCACATTCCGTCCAGTTAATCTCCAGCGTCATAAGTTGCACATTTAGCCTAATTTCTTGAATGATTATCCTTGTACACGTGTTCTCTCCAGTTATAACCTTCATTCGCATATTTATTCCTATCATAACACTCATTGTATCCGTTTGATCCCACCTGTATCTATCATAGTTCATAACGCTTTCCAAAATGTCGTCTCTGAAGCTCACTCTTGCTCTAAATTTCTTGTTTAATTCATCAATTGTTGCACCATGTTTTCCTACTGTTGTTGCTTGTAATTGCTTTGTAGCTGAAGATATTCCAGCTCGATCTTGCCTATTGCATGTGCGAAGATGATACAGTGCAGATTGCCCAGCTCTATAAGTGTAGCTACTGCTCAATTGCCTTCCCTGCTTTGCCTTCTTTGTGTTGCATGCTTATATTCCAGTCGAAATTGCTGAATTGCTGCTCAAACTTCCTTGCCAATACCAGTGGATTTTGCAGATTGTTATGGGAATAAAGATCTTCCCCTCCTCATCTTGTTGTATTTTTTGTTCTTTTTCTGATTTCTGCTTTGCATGAGGATAAAAAATCCTCAAGAGTGCTTGAATCCCTGTATGTTGTGATGTGTATCCCTTCTTATGCTTGATTGCTTTTTTCCACATGTGCATCATCCAGCTGAATTCCTTTGAGATTGAAAGGAATTTTGCTGTCTGCAGGCTGTATGCATTTATAATGATGCTCATTTGTTTATCCCTAGTATGCATCTGTTGCTTCACTTTTGTGTCTGCAATTGGTTGGAACCTTGCTAGTGTTGATAAGGTGTTAACCTCCACTTGTTTGTTCATTCCAACCTCTTCATTTTTTGATCTTATTGCTTGCCAAAATTGCTTCCAAAACTCTGCAAAACTGTGCAGCCTAAGTTGCCTTGTTGCTCCTACATATATCATCTGTAGGGACCTTTCCTTTCCAAATTCTCCACAAAAAGAAGGAGATTTTGAAAGGTAAACCTTTAGTCCACAGCTTTGCAAATTCAGGATTAATTTGTTCTCTATGACTCAATATTCTCCATGCACTACTCACAGTAAATTTACCTGAAGGTGTAGGCATCCACCTTGGAATGTCCCAGAAATCATTACCATTAACAAAATGCACCTCCTGTCTAATATGATTAGCTATGTCCTGTGGGAAAGTTTGATCAAAGAGTGCATCATCCCATTGATCATCAGTTCTCAAATCAGCAACTTCTTGCAAATCTTCATTAATAGGAAAATCTTGAGGCAGTACATGATATAATTCTCCCAATCCAGTCCAATTCTCATGCCATACATTTGTAGATCCCCTATTCATTTCCCATAGAATTTCATGTTCCACCTCTTCTCTTGCCTCTAGCTTTTTCTTCCAAACATGAGATCCTTCCCTAAACTGAACCACAGTAGGTATTTCTTTCTTGCAATACTTGTTCCACATGAAGTTGGACCATAAGGACTTAGAAGTTCTAAATCTCCACCAAAGTTTTGCAAACAAAGCCTTAGAGACATCAAATAAAGATCTGAAACCTACTCCCCCCTCCTCTTTGGGAAGACATAGATTTTGCCACTTTGTCCAATGCCTACTCCTCCCTTCTTCCTTATTGCTCCAGAAAAATCTTGCAAATGTCTTATGAAAATGTTCCAGCACATTGTCAGGTGGATCAAGGACTGACAAAATGTGTGTAGGAATACTTTGGAGTACACTTGAGATCAAGGTAGCCTTCCCTCCATAGGATAACAATTTCCCTTTCCATGAGTGTAACTTGGCCTTCACCTTTTGAATCAAGTCATTGTAATAGTGTTTCCTTCTCCTTGTATAAAAAATAGGACATCCAAGGTAGGTAAATGGAAAGCTACCTTTAGCAAAACTAGTGATGGTAGCTACTGCATCCACCAAATTTCCAGCAACCTTTGAGTGCATATAGTAGGAGCTCTTTGCCTTGTTGATCAGCTGCCCTGAAGTATGCTCATACATAGTCAACACATCTACTATCTTCTGAAGAGAATAGGGGTCAGCAGATGCAAATATAATAGTATCATCTGCATATGCTAGGTGATTCAAAGGATCAGACCACTTTGGCATTCCAAAACCCCTAAACTGCCTGTCTTCAAATAACCTATTCAGTGATCTTGATAACACTTCTGCTAATAAAATGAATAAAGCTGGTGAAAGAGGATCCCCTTGTTTCACACCCCTAGTTGAATGAAAAAATCCAGAAGCCTGTCCATTAACCATAACTGAATACCAATTGTTAGAGATAAGGTTCCAAACCATATTGAGAAAGCATTCTGCGAACCCCATTCTCCTCAACACATGCATCAAATATTTCCAGGACACCCTATCATAAGCCTTTGCCATATCTAACTTTATCACAACATTGGCAGGTTTACCTCTCAACCTTATATCAGTGACTATCTCGTGAGTCAACAAAATGTTCTCAAATATACTCCTTCCTTTGACAAAGCCAGATTGGTTTGCTGAGATCAAAGAAGGGAGTATCTTTTCAAGTCTATCATGAACCACCCTTGAGAATACCTTATTAATGAAATTACTCGAACTGATTGGTCTAAGGTCAGAAAATGTTTGCACTTGTGGTTTCTTAGGCAGCAAAACAAGGTTAGTATGTGTTATAGACTTAGGCAAATGACTGCCTTCAAAGAACACCACTAACAATGTGTAGATATCTTCCCCTACTATATCCCAGCATGCTTGAAAGAACAAGCCAGAGAAACCATCTGGACCACTTGCACTTTCACTACTCAATGCAAAGACAGCAACCTTCACCTCCTCCTTTGTTGGCAATCTACATAATTCCAAGTTCTGCTCCCTTGACACCATTGATGGTATATTATTCAGCAACTCAAAATAATTAGGATCTCCTTCCTTAGTGAATTGTTTCTGAAAAAACTCAACTGCAGCCTCAGAAAGCTCTCTTGAGATTCAATCCATACTCCATCACTATTCTGAATCCTTTTCAATTGAAGCTTTTGTTTCTTTCCATTAACACAATTATGGAAGAATCTTGTGTTTCTATCACCTTCTTCAAACCAAGTCATACCTACCTTTTGCTTCCAATACTGTTCTTCTATGCTCAAGTACTTCTTCAACTCAGCTTGAGCTTGTTGAAGTACAATTCTATTCTCAGTAGATGGATCTTCCTCAAACAGCATCTCCTTAATCCTCACCACATCCTCCCTGATAGCAAGCTGCTTGAAAATATCACCATAAGTTAGTTTGCTCCATTTTGAAAGAGCAATTTTAACCCTCTTCAACTTCTGCTTGAACATCAGGAATGGATCCCCTATAAAGTCAGCAATCCAATTCTGCTTCACCACCTCTAGAAATGATTCATGTTTTGCCCAAAAGTTCAGAAATTTGAATGGCTTTACAAACTTCATTGCTTCCTCTCCACAGCTCATCAATAGTGGGTCATGATCAGATCCTGTTCTAATAAGGTGCTCCACTTCTATTGTTGGAAACAATGTTTGAAAAGGCATATTCACAAGAATTCTATCCAATCTTTTAAAGATGCACTCCTCATTTGGCCTACCATTCCACCAAGTAAAAGGACTGCCCTTATAGCCAAGATCAAAAAGGCCACATGAATTCACACAAAATGCAAAATCTTCATACTCAGGAGGATACACTGGTAAACCACCTATCTTTTCTTCCTCTCCAAGGACAACATTGAAATCACCCCCCACAAGCCATGGCAATTTCATATCACTAGCCAAATAATAGAGATTGTCCCACAGTTCTAACCTCTCTAATGCACAACACTTAGCATAAACAAAGGTCATCATAATATACTTACCCAAGTCTTGATGGTATACTCTGATTGTCATTTGTTGCTCAGTGTCAATCAACAAGTCCCATTCAACCACAGAATCAAAGAATAACCAAATCTTCCCATTCACATTAGAAATTGCTGCCTCCATTCCTAACCTTCTTCTATATTTGTCAATAAACTTCTTCTTCTGTAGGGGCTCCATTATTGCTACAATGAAAAAACCATGTTCTTTCTGCATATTAATCACTCTTTGAAAGGCCTGTTGAGTTTTAACAGACCTTATATTCCAAATAAGTGTTTTTATCATCATCTTGAAGCTCCAGAGGCTCCCCTTCTAGGCAGTATTCTTGTAGGTTGCAATGGTTCTTTGGGTTGATTTTTCTTTCCTTTTCTCCCACTTCTAGTAGCTGCAGTAGGAGATACATCCCCTTCCCTCATAACATCCTTGAAATTTTCAGCTGTAGACTCATCATCCCCTTCCTCCTCAAATTGATTTTGCTGCTCCAATAAGGCATTCTGAATATCTAGTGGCAACTCCTGATGAGTTATAATGTTATGTAGCACCTGATTGGGAGATTTCAATGGAACATTTACTTTGATTTGTAAAGGAGAACCAGTTCCAGATGAACAAGCCATTGGCAATGCTTCACTTTCCCTTGCAACTATTGCATGTTCACCTGGTTCATAAGGTGCCAGTGCTGCTTCTAACTGCTCTGAATTAGTGATCACCTCTCCTAGCTTCTCCTGCATCATTTTGAATTGCAGCTCATACATAGAACTTAGGTTAGGGTTTACTGTAGCACAACTGACAGAAACTGCCTGGGTTACTGTTCCATTAGGATCACCCCCCTTCCTTTGGTCTGTTTGATGATCTGAACACACTGTATCCTTCCTAACATCAATATGAACACCTTCATCATGCCCTTTCTCCACAGCATATACAGGAACCCCATCAACAAAAGCCAAAATCTCCCCAGTTTTGTTATTAGTTACTGTTCCATTGCCTTTCTCAATGCTCAATGGTGCTGCAACTAATCCATCTTGATTTCTAGCTTCCTTTGATGTTCCTGAACCTCCTCCAATTGATTTTCCTGCTTGCAATTCCATAGAACTCAAAGTACAGTCAACCCTAGTTTTTAGACTGCAAGGGTTTACTGTAGTTCCTCCAGTAGTTCCAGTTTTTTTCATCTGATTGTTGATCCCCTCCTCTTTGTCTACCATTACTTTTTTTAATCCCTTCTATTCTTCCATGACTTCAACTTCCTCACTCCATAAGACCTTCCTTGAACTCACCTCATTAGCATCTTCCTGTTGCTCAACATCCTCATAAGTTTGAGAAGGAATGTCTTGACAAGAGTGATTGGTAGTCACATTACAATGCCTGAGCTCTTCTTTACTTGTACCAAACCTCCTGTGCACCCAGTCTATCGTAGACTCTTTCCTAGCCTCTTCATTACTCCCAGCATCAATAGGAGTAGGACCAGTCGATTGATGATCAACTAGGGCTCCCTTTGTAGTAGACAACTGATTCCCTAATGGTGTAGGATTCAACTTTTCCTTACATAAAGCTGCCTCCCTTTCCTTGTTTGCATTGTCCACAGCTTCTTTCTTTACCCTTCTCGCATCAAATTCTTCCTTATTTAAGGAAGTGTTATCACCTACCTTGCCCATTACCTTCTTTAAATCACTTTCCTTAATCCCTTTTGAATTAGGATTAGGAGAATGATCCCCACCATTATCCTTCTTCTCTTGTTGCTGCGCCTTGCTTGTCCCTTTACTTTCTTGATCCTTCCCTTTGTTCTTGCCATTGTTCTCCACCTTGCCCTCCACAATAGTTAAAATTGGTTGAGCAGTTTCATCAACTTCCAAAGCTTCAAATTTGTTTCTTGACACCACTGCCTCCTCCTTGGTCTTTCCTTTCCCCTTGTTGTCTTCTTTCATATTTGACTCATCAATAATATAGCCCCTCTTGTCTCTTTTGTATTTATTCTTTCGAGCTTGCATCCACTCCTGCCTAGCTGGATTAGGAATAGGTTTCCCTAACACTTTACCACTTGTTAACACCTTTGTAGTATTAGCAGCTGTACCAACTATATTTTGATCATTCTGCACATCATTAGTTGGTTCTTAAAACTTCCTCAACTCCGGATTAATTACCCAGCATTCCTCTTCTTTATGACCTTGTTTTTTACAAGTTTTATAATACTTAGGCATATAATCATACCTAATTTTGATCCACTTGAACTCTTCTGGCCCAGATTCATCTTCCTCCTCAACTATCTTGATCCTTTGAGGTAAATTAGCTAACAAATTCACCTCCACCTTCACCTTTGCACAGCTTGGCCTTGTACCATTTTGAGTAGCCAAATCAACATGTAATGGCCTCCCTACTGCCCTAGCTAAAGAAAATACGAACTCCCTCCCAAAGAAGTTAGGAGGCAAGTCTTGAAACGATATCCAAGCTATAGCAATTGGTGTTTCTCCATCAACTTTCCACCATGGATTCCACTTAGTGCACCTCATCTGCCACATCTCATTCTGGATTTTCAAGTAATAAGCAGGCTTGGATAATAGATGAATATAATCCTCCATTAATGATAGCTTGATCAACACATGACTGTCCTCAATCAATCCAACTAAACATGGACCTTTTAATTCACATTGAATGGGCAGTATTTTACGTAGATCATGAATCCCAGGCTTCCCATATGAAAACTTACCTAGTATTGCTAGTTTTGATCCTTGTTGAGTGATGGATTGCCTTACTTCTTGCTTCTTCCAACGTACAATTGGTTCTCCATGAAGATATTCGATTGGTTTTAGGGCTACATTGGACGTAGGCTGCATGGGGGCATTTAATGCATTAGGTTTGAGCAGATTTGCGTAGTTTTGGGTTGTGTTTGGGACTGTAGAAGGTTGGGGGGCTGTTACAGGTGAAGGAGACGACTGCCCAACCTCCATTGAAGGCTGGGCAGTGGCCGGCAAGGCCATGAATGGAGGCAGCGAGCTTTCTCTCTCTAATCGCCCAGATTTTCGCCAGAGCTTCTCTCTCTAGGCCAACGCGTAGGGTTTAGGGTTTAAAAATGAGAGATTAGGGTAGGTCGTTCAGGGTTAAAAAACGTAAGGGGGTTTATGGCCGTTGATCAAAATGATCAACGGCCTGGATCAATAATAGGAACCGGGCGGATTTTTAAATTGGGTCAGGGGCCGGGTAAAAAATGAAATTGGCCTGGTTTAATTGGGGTAGAATTGGGTCAATTTAAGGGCCAAAATTGAAATGTAAAATAGGCTATAATTGAAATAAATGAGGCTAAATGTTAAATAGCCGTTTTTTCCTTTTTATTAATATAAAATAGTAAAGATGATTTTAAAAGCAAATTGAAAGTACTGAACGAATTAATAGTAAATAAAAATTAACTGAAAAATACTGGGACTAATTTTACAATTACAAAATGCTATTAATCTTAAAATAGGCTATAATTGCAATTATATGCAATTTAGTCTTTAAATACCAAATAAATTTGTAAAAAATATACAAAAATTATCTTAACTATATTTTGGTATAAATATGGGAATAAATAAATTACTCACCAAAATTGATAGCTTTTGGGAATAATTACTGATTTTTGTACTGCTAAATTGGACAATAAATTGATTTTAAAAATCATTAAAAATTAGGAAACATACCAAAACACTTGGGCATGCTTATATATGCATATACATGCTATTTTTGAAAGTATTTTGTATATAAAAGTACATTAGGGAAAAATTGGGTATCAACAGCTGCCCCTCTTTACCCGGGAAGGATGAAAGAGTTGTCGGGTAAAAATATGATGGCCAATTTGACCGGATGAAACGATTTGAAGAATATTGACCGAGCTCTGGTTCCTGAGCTGCCTACATATCCCTAGTCTTACAGGAATTAGGTCATATGTAGTTCGGGATCCATCGGCGGAATATGTCGATGGAGATTTTCGAAAAACGGACGCGATATTCAGGTTGAGAAAGATGGTTGAAGTCTAGTAGGCTGCGGGAACTGGAACGGGATCGCTCCTGCTGAGACGGCCGTTGCTAGCCAGTTTACCTGCAAATGAGCAATGCGAACATATATATATTGCATAAATTTTAACGTGATGCAAGTTCCCGTTGGACCATGAATGTTGTCTTTGGACGGTTAGGATGACGTCCTCAGACCATGACGTCCTGGGCCATGAAGCGCATAATAAAGGATTCGCGGGCTATGAAATGATGTTCTCAGGCTATGAGAATGACGCCTTCGAACTATGATGCCTTTGAATAATGATATGCAAGAGATAAAATGGGGTCCTCAGGCCACGGCATGGCGTTCTCGGGCTATGAAAATGGTGCCTCTGAACAATGACGCCTTTGGACAATTTGGCGATCTTTCAGCCCATGAAATGCGAAAGGTGGCGATCTTTCAGCCCATGAAATGCAAAAGGTGGCGATCTTTCAGCCGATGCGGAAATGTAAATAAAGGGTGGCGATCTTTCAGCCAGCGCAAGATGTAAAAGGTGGCGATATTTCAGCCATGCAGATGTAAGTAAAAGTGGCAATATTTCAGCCATGCAGATGGAGGTAGAGCTTAACCTCGGAAGGCAGAAAGGTAGCCTTATGTAATGCAGAAAATGCAGATGGAGACAGAGCTTAGTCTCGGAAGGCAGAAAGGTAGCCTTATGCAATGCAGAAAATGCAGATTGAGACAGAGCTTAGTCTCAGAAGGCAGAAAGGTAGCCTTATGCAATCTAAAAAATGCAGATGGAGGTAGAGCTTAAACTCGGAAGGCAGAAAGGTAGCCTTATGCAATGAAGAGAAATAAAAGGCGAATAGTAATAAAATCTCTTAGCTGATAGCTTGATAGCTGATTGCGATATTGTGGCTGCTGGGGATATCATGTACGGATAGCAATTGTGAGTAGGTGTGATGGTTCTGAAAGTTGCATTCCTGAAAAGTATGAGTGTATAAATGTACTCGATGATTTGTGACTTGGGTGCCTGCATCCAAAGAAAAATCGTGTGTTTTGTAGAGGGGGAAGGTTAGTTCGTATCCCCGTGGACTTTGCTCATCCTGCTTGGCTCTGTTTTCAGTGATGTTGTATATCATTGGGGTAGCGTTGCTAAACAAAACGATTTTGATACTAGACATGCATGATTTAGTAAAAATGTAACACAAATAAAATAGTTT